GACGGTGACGACCGAGCCAGTGCTTGGTATGCAGAAGCCAAAAAGGGCCACGGCGTTCCTCTGAGTGGTGAGTGGGAGCGATCTTAGCGATGGACAGCACGTGTCTTGCTTGCTCACGCCCCCACTTGCCTCGACAGACTTTATGAACGCGCAGTACTTTGCAGACATTACGCTCGGTACTCCTCCCCAAAACTTCAAGGTCATCCTCGACACGGGCAGCTCCAACCTCTGGGTTCCCTCTACCAAATGCAGCTCCATTGCCTGCTTCTTGCACTCCAAGTATGACAACTCGCAATCCTCCACATACAAGAAGAACGGCACCGAGTTCAAGATTCAATACGGCAGTGGGGCCATGGAGGGCTACGTCTCGCAGGACACCTTGACCATCGGTGACATTACCATCAAGGGTCAGGACTTTGCCGAGGCGACCTCTGAGCCCGGTCTTGCCTTTGCTTTCGGCAAGTTCGACGGCATCCTCGGTCTTGCTTACGACACGATCAGCGTCAATGGCATCGTGCCCCCATTCTATCAGATGGTGAACCAGGGTTTGCTTGACGAGCCGGTCTTCAGCTTCTACCTCGGATCATCCGAGGAGGATGGTGGCGAGGCTGTGTTTGGTGGCATCGATGAGAAGCACTACGAGGGCAAGATCACTTATGCTCCCCTGCGCAGAAAGGCGTACTGGGAGGTCTCTCTTGACGCCGTCTCTCTCGGCAAAGACAGATTGGAGCTGGATAACACTGGCGCGGCCATCGACACTGGAACATCCCTCATCGCTCTGCCCTCTGACATGGCTGAGCTGGTCAACAAGGAGCTTGGAGGTAAAAAGGGATGGAATGGACAAGTGACTGTCGAGTGCGAGAAGCTCGACTCTTTGCCCGACTTTACCTTTGAGCTGGACGGCAAGCCATACACTCTCAGCCCAAAGGATTACATCCTTCAGGTGCAGGGTACCTGCTTGTCCCCCTTCACTCCTCTCGATATTCCTCCCCCTGCTGGCCCCATCTGGATCGTTGGTGACGTCTTCCTCCGCAAGTACCACACCACCTACGACCTCGGCAGAAATGCCGTCGGCTTTGCCAAGGCCAAGTAGACTCCGCGCATGTTGCACGCGATTCGAGTTGCACAGAGAGGTTCGCCCATTCTTGTCCCCCCCCCC